TGGCTTTTGGAGTATCCAAGACATATAATGAGCCAGATACTGACTCAGCCCACCAGGGTCCATTTAGACCTAAAATACTCTATTGGGAGTGCTCATAAATATATCATATTAAAGATATTCTGTTGCTGTGTTAAAACAAATATATAAGTCGACCCAATTTTCTCCCTCTGTAAGAACTACAAAAAAAAGCTTGCTGAAAAATCTAAAACATCTGACAATTTCTGGAATTTTGAATGCTTGGTGCCCCTTGGTGGTTCCTTTCACCACCACTCTACATCACTATAGGAAACACTTGTGTAAGTATGTCAGATGCTGAAAATTAATTAGCAATACTAGCTGTTCAAGTGAGTTCATAGATGGTGGAACAGTTGAGTATTATTTATTTTATTTTTTATATTTTTACAAGGTGGACAATTTTAGTTTTTTTAATCTAGCAACAGAGTTATGTTAAGCGCATCTAATTGTACTGTACACATTTCTATTACAAGTACAGCCATGGCGAAAAATATTGCCACTATGCATTTCTGTCAGATAATGCACCACTTCGCTTTGTTGCAATTACAAATGTTTAGGCATTCTCATGTTTATTTGTTTTGTTTGTATTGGTATGACACAAAAAAAGTGCAGAAAAAAAAGCCAAAGCTGACACATTCCACGCAAAACTCCAAAAATGGACTGGCCAAAATGATTGGCACCTTCTCCAAATTGCAAGAAACGCATGGACAATCTCAAGGTTACAAGTCCATCTCCAGAGGACTTAATGTTCCTGTGTCCACTGTGCGCAACATTGTCAAGAAGTTTACAGCCCATGGCACTGTAGCTAATCTCCCTGGACGTGGACGAAAGGGAACACTTGATCAAAGATTGCAATGAAGGATTGTTCAAATGGTGGATAAAGACCCTCGATCAACTTTCAGACAAATTCAAGCTGACCTTCAGGCACAGGGTACAGCTCGCACCATACATCACCATCAGAGTGAAAAGGGACGCTATGGTAGAAAACCCAGGAGGATCCCACTGCTGACACAGAAACGTCAAAAAGCCAGATTGGAGTGTGCCAAAACTTAACTGAGGAAGCCAAAATCCTTTTGGGAGAATGTGCTGTGGACAGACAAAACAAAATTACAGCTTTTTGGTAATGCCCATCATCCTACTGTTTCCAGAAAAAGAAATGAGGCCTTTAAAGAAAAAACTACAGTCCCTACAGTCAAACATGGTGGAGGTTCACTGATGTTTTGGGGTTGCTTTGTTACTTCGGGCACTGGATGTCTTGGCTGTGTGCATGGCATCATGAAATCTGAAGACTAGCAAAGAAATCTGGGGTGCAATGAAGGGCCCAGTGTCAGAAATTTTGGTCTCCGTCCAAGGTCATGGGTCTTACAGCAGGACAATGACCCAAAGCACACAGAAATGGTTTCAGACAAAGCGCTGGAGAGTACTGGACTGGCCAGCAATGAGTCCAGATCTAAATTCCATAGAGCACCTGTGGAGAGATCTCAAAACAGCAGTTGGGAAAAGGAACCCTTCTAATCTGAGAGACCTGGAGCAGTTGGCAAAAGAAGAGTGGTCCACAGTTCCTGTAGAGAGGTGTAAGAAACTAATTGATGGTTACGGAAGCGATTGTTTTCAGTAATTTTTTCCAAGGGCTTTGCTACCAAATATTAATTGCGGGTGCCAATAATTTTGTCCAGTTCAGTTTTAGTGTCATACCAATACATACAAAATAAATAAACATGAGAATGCCTAAACAATTGTAATTGCAACAATTGTCTGCGCGAAGTGGTGCATTATCTGACAGAAATGCAGGGGTGCCCATGACTGTATATTTTTTTCATAAGTAGATCCATAACAAAAATGATTTCAAATTCAATATAAGGCGGTGATAGTTAATTCCTAACTCATTAAAAGGACACCTGTCTAAGCCTAAAAACAAATTAATTAAGAAATAAATCCTGCATTAAAATTTCATGAATACATTGCAAAGTGAATCAGTCCTGGCATCCCTGATCGCCTAGTCCTGTCACGTGTGAAGATGGAAGCTTGGGAACAAGGTGTTACAACCATAGTGACAAATTCAACTTCAGCTTATTTATGTGTGGGTAATTCTAAGCAAAATATGTTCATATATTTTACGCATGAGCATGTAAACATTTTTTTCAGGTTAAGTAGATCAGAGTATGTTGAATGTGTAAGCTTGTAAGCTGCTACAGGTCAACAGTTAGGCAGACAAGCTCACAAATTCAGAAAATCAGACCCTTTGCATCAATACCCTCTGTATGTGTCCCCTCTTTCACATTTTGCTGGCCATTGCAAGTATTCCAGTTCTGACTTCAAATTTCAGTTAGTGTGCAGTGGATGAAATATTTTTCATATAGGGCATTTAGTAATAGTTATATCCATTAACTACATGACAGCTTAAAAATACCTTCATATTTGAATGTATACAAAATTGAGTTTTTCCCCATTTCCCTTGGGATTTCTTTACAAATCCGTTCATCTTCAACAAAGTTTTCAGATTTGCAGATTGCATGTTCCTTCTGTTATGTTAAGAGTTAACACGGTTAATTTACCACAGAACAAGAGTCTAAATACTTTGTGTTAAGCACAGCAGAATTAGATTTATTGTGTGTATACTGCAGTTGTTGGATAAGTAGCTTTCGAAAATCAATATTTAATTAGCTCACATACTGTTTTATTACAAGCGCCACGGAGAATCGCAAAGTATTTCTCTACTGCCTTCCCAAGACACAGCTTTGGTTTCTCAGGAAACAGGCTTTGGCACACCGGGATTTCACCGTAGGGGCCGGACTCCCAGATCCCACACAAAACAGAGATGTCACACTGTTTGCATTTGATCTGATCTTGTAAACAAGTCCCAGCTTGTAAGCTTTTATTGCAGGGTAATGAGAAAAGGAAAGTTTATTCAATCCCTACCTCAAGCTCTTCAACCTGCCTCGCGCTCTCCTGCATGAGCTGCAGCCACAGTTGTCAGAATCTTATCTAATGACAGATGGGTCTCTATCTAACATGCGTTATATTGTAATTAAAATGAAAACTATATCACTGGTATCACCGTATAATACTCACTAAGTAATCCTCATTTCCCTGAAACAATATCTTGTGCAACAAATATAACTTCCCTATGTCTACTGAAATTTACAAGTTACAAACTGAACCACAATTTCTTTCATATGAATCAGATTTATTTTCCCTCATAGTGTATTTAAAGTCAACATTATTTTTTAAGCTTGAAAAGAGTGATGAAAGGGTTAAAAAGCAATTGAACTGTGCTCAAACACAAACGGGTGACCAGTATTGCCTATGGTCTCCATGCAACTGATCATTTCCTTATGACCATGACTTGTTCTGCACTGTGTCTACATACCCTGCATGGCCCCACTATGTCGCCCAGAAGAAGGGACTCTCCGTGGCCCCGAAACGTTGGCTGTTTGAAGCATGTGATGATTGAATAAAAAGTGCTTTACTTCTTGCACGTATCATCGAGTGCTGGTGACTTCTATTATGGACTGTATTTGACACAGCGCCATCCGTGTTGTCACTTCAAGCACCAACCTCTTACTCAAGGTCTGTATGCTGTATGGAGTGCAGGTGATTTCGTATTATATATATGGAAGCAGCCATCTTGGTAGAGGCAGGGTTTTGCTTTATCAAGTCAGAGCTTCCAGCAAGGAGAATAATGAGTATCACAGTAGTGACATCACCAATCTCTTTTCAAATCTCCTGCGAGTATAAATCAGGGACAGCCATGCCATAAATCTTACACTGCAGATATACTGTACAAATAAGAGGCTGCAGACACAGGATTGCCCAGGCACCCTCGTACACCAGGAAGTGCATTACTATTTGTCAGCAGGAATTTAAGCAAAAAGTTAATTTTTTAGACTACTGCTTAGGCACAGTTCTAGATCTTCACTATAAGGCCCCATTCACACACGAATCGGCCCACACGTACAGCTCCGTCCTGCGTGCAGGGCCGTACTCCAGCAGCTCCCGGGAAGGACAGGTGCTGTGTGCCTGTCCTTCTCTATGGGGCTACGCGCCCGTACACCCCCCTACGCTCACCTCAACTGCAGGTCCGTAGGGGTGCGGGTTTTCTGGCCGGGAAGCATACAGGATCCATTACGGACGTGCAGGGCGGGCCAGCGTAGGGGGACGTACGGCTGCTTAGCCCCATAGAGAAAGACCTGGGCTGCGTACTAATCACACACAGCACCTGTCCTTCCCGGCAGCTGCTTGGTACGGCCCTGCACACAGCACAGAGCTGCATATGAGCTGCAATTTTAACAGTGCAATAGCGCATGTGTGCGTTCTCCCAACACGATGGTTTAATCTCTCTGTGCTGGTGAGCATTATAACCAAGACTTAAATTAAGGGAATATCTAACATTTTTAGTTGTCACCATAACAGGAATAGAGGGGATATTTTCCAATGGGGATATTTATAATACGTAGGTACGTTAATATGTAGACTAGTGACATATGTTTAAGAGGACATTTCCCTCTCTTTAGAGAGGTTTCCTTTCACTTCCTTTTATGTCTGCAAGACAGGAAGTGAAGGTAAATCTTCCCAATGGAACAGAGATGGCTAAAAAACTTGACAAAGGTTGTAACTCTTCCCTATATAATCAATCATATACAAAATAAAAAAAAGCTTTGGCTGCAGATATACTGTACTTTAAGCTGATAGCATGCATATCTGAAACATATACAAAATACCCATTTATTAGGCAGCAGTAAGGCCTTCCAGTGGCCATACCTTTGTTTTAAATAAAAGGGCACATGCAGACTCAGTTTACAGTAAATAGTGTGGTGCCCTGTGGAGAGAACACAGCTATATTTGATCTCATTTAGCCATAGCATAAATTGCATCTCTAATATGCCAAATAGTACACAAATAACAGGAATGGAAGATGTGGAATTGTTACCTGTCTGCTCGTTTTTCATTAGCATTTTGGCCTTTGTGTAATACCTGCTCCTTACCTTTGCTATCTGGACACACCAGTTGAGAAGAAGCTGAGAGCCAATATTATCTTTGTGTTCATGGACATAATCCAGGAGGCATCCATGAGGCATCAACTGGGTAACTAACTGAATGGTGGGACTCAGGCAGACTCCCAAAAGGCGAACCAGGTGGGGATGATCCATGCTAGCCATAATCAGGGCTTCCTGCAATGAAGAGCACATTAAACAGTTACTTCTATTGTCACATGACGGACCTACAGTACATAAAAAGCAGGCATTGCATTGTGCACCAACTGTACCATTTTCCAGAGCAGCTTTTCTCAACCTTTTTTCAGTCAGGGCACCCTTTAAAAGTATGCATATTCTCAAAGCACCCAGTCATTAAATGTAAAAAACCAACATGTGGTTCTCCAAAATCCATACCAAACCCTTATACAAGATATGGGTCTGGTATGGATTTTAAGGAGAGGGAACCAAGTAAAAATATACTTCCCCCCTACATCAAAGTCCCCTTAACAATACAACCTCCTTTCACATCAAAAGCCAACCCTCCCCTTCACATCAGAGTCCCAGCTTTCACATCAGGAACCTTCTTAACATCAGAGGCATGACTTTGTGTGAAAATTTCAAGGCACCGATGAGAAAACCAGAAAACACACCAGTATGCCACAGCACCTTGGTTGAGAAAGGCTGTTCTAGAGACACATTACTTCTTATATCTATATTACCAAAATATATATAAGCATTAGACATCTGCAGCGGCTAAAAATGAGTTTTGTTTCTTTTCGTTTCGGATTTTGTTTATTTCGTTTTTGGAATTCGGATCCTATATGTGTTTCGTTTCGGGAATCGGATTCGTATCCGATTCGGAATTCGTGTCGGATTCGGAATTGGGATTCGGACGAATTCCTGAAAATTCAACTTGAGGTAGGGTAGCAGAATTGGCACATTTGTCATTTCTGGTTGCTGTGCTCTAGTCTTTACTATTAAAGGGACATTAAAATCCTTTTCTTAATTTGTTTTTATCCGTTTAAATGTTAACAGTGCACACACAGGATTTAAACGAAATCCGTTCCAAATCCGACATTTCGGATTCGGATGCTTTCAGATTAGGGCTGCAACAACTAATCGACATAATCGATTATAATCGATTATTGAAAAAGTTGTCAACTTTTTAAATAATCGATTAATCGGCTTCTGATTGGTTGGCCCTGTTCACGGCTCAACACACGCTGCGCGCCACACCTCCTCCCCACCTCACGCTCGCCGCTGCCAGACCTGCCCGCATCCACGCTCCTCCTCCGCGCCTCA